GGAATTCCCAAGTCCCTCATCTGGTCAGAAAACTGGTCAGAAACAGAAAAAAAAATTTTTTTTTATTTGTATCCATAATACAAAGCCCTCTACTCAGTTTTCACTGTTAGCCCCGCAATGAGCAGTCACATCACAGAGTCCTGAGCAACAGAGTCTCTGTCCTCAGAATTTAAAATATATTGGGGAAGGGACATGAAAAAAATGCTCAATATCACTAATTATCGGAGAAATGCAAATCAAAACTACAATGAGGTATCACCTCATACCAGTCAGAATGGCCATCATTCAAAAGTCCACAAACGACAAATGCTGGAGAGGCTGTGGAGAAAAGGGAACCCTCCTACACTGCTGGTGGGAATGCAGTTTGGTGCAGCCACTATGGAAAACAGTATGGAGATTCCTCAAAAGATGAAAAATAGACTTACCATATGATCCAGCAATCCTACTCCTAGGCATATATCTAGAGGGAACCTTAATTCAAAAAGATACCTATACCCCAATGTTCATAGCAGCACTATTTACAGTAGCGAAGACTTGGAAACAACCTAAATGTCCATCAACAGACAACTGCGTAAGGAAGTTGAGGCATAGTTATACAATGGAATACTACTCAGCCATGAAAAAGAATAAATTTATGCCATTTGCAGCAATATGGATGGATCTGGAGATTGTCATTCTAAGTGAAGTAAGCCAGAAAGAGAAAGAAAAATATCATATGATATTACTTATATGTGGAATCTAAAAAAAAGACAAATGAACTTATTTATAAAACAGAAACAGACTCACAGACATAGAAAACAAACTTACGGTTACCCGGGGAAAAGGTGGTAGGAAGGGATAAATTAGGAGTTCAAGATTTGCAGATACTAACTAATGTAAGTAAAACAAACAAGTTCATACTGTATAGCACAGGGAACTATATTCAGTATCTTATAGTAACTTATGGTGAAAAAGAACATGAAAATGAATATATGTATGTATATGTATGACTGAACTATTATTACGCTGTACACCAGAAATTGACACAACATTGTAAACTGACTTTAATTTTTTAATTGTAAACTTCAATAAAATCTTTGGGAAAAAAGTATATTGGGGAAGACACTGAACCAGCTATTTATTAAGCAAAATGTCATGTAGTTTCCTTTATTATTATTTTTAATGGAGGTACTGGGGATTGAACCCAGGACCTCGGGCATGCTAAGCACCTGCTCTACCACTGAGCTATATCCTCCCTGTCATGTAATTTCCTTTTCATGAGGTATCTCAATGTAGTGCTTCAGAATCTAGGAATTTATAAAAAGTGTGGCCTGTAATTATTTGGAGATAAGACACAGTATCTCCAGTATGTATATTTCAATGTAATAAATCAAAATTTCCCTAAAATTCAGGGGACAGTGAAATGTGAGAAGGGTTCATAGAAAGGAAGAGCCTTTGGTTTTGATTATTTGCATCTCTAGGATGGATCTGAAAGCTGTCAGACATTGCGTAACCTTGAAAGTCAGGTTATGAGTTTCTGCCTCAAAGCCTAAGAGACGTCATCTGAATTGTTTACGGTTGGGGAGAGACTGTCATAGATTTTTTTTCTGTTTTCTCTGGCAAAAATCAGCTGAATGATGAAGATAAGGCAATAAACATGGAAGATATCTTGGGATTAAAAATATTTTTAGTTATGAAGTACACATAAAATCTAACATTTGAACTGTTTTCAAGTGTACACTTGAGAGGCATTAAGTACACAGATATGGCCATACAACTGTCTCCTCCAGGACTCTCCTCACCTAGCAAGCTGTAACCCTGAACACAATAAACATAACCCTCAGTCCCCGACAACCACCCTTTTACTTTGTTTCTATGACTTTAAGTTCTCTAGGCACTTTGTATAAGCGGAACTATACAATATCGGTCCTTTTGTGTCTGGCTTATGTCACTGAGCATAAAGCCCTCAAGGTTCATCCATGTTGTAGCAGGTGTCAGACTACCCTTATTTTTCAAGGCTGAATAATGTTTTATTGTTGACGCTTTGTTTCTCCATTCATGTTAATGGCACTTGGTGGCTTCCACCTTTTGGCTGTTATGCATACTGCTATGAACATGCTTGTACAGATTTCTCTTCCAGTCTCTGCTTTTAGTTCTTTGAGGTATATACTCAGAAGAATTTTTGGACCAGATGTCAATTCTGTTTAGCTTTTTGAGGAACCGCCATGGGTTTTCTGTATTAGCTGCACCATTTTCCGTTCCAACCAGCAGTGAATAAGGTTGACAGTTTGACTACATCTTGCCAATACTGTTATTTTCTTTTTTTTTTTTTTACTTTTTTGTCTTTAAATAGTACCCATCCTAAGGAATGTAAGGCAGTATCTCATTGTAGGATGTTTTCAAGCTGGGAAATACAAGAAAGATAAAAATACCAGATAGGTATTGGGATATTTAGAGGCTGAGATATTCTGTATTAAGTCATATCTCAGTTAGCTTGAGGGAAGACAGTAATCAGTTTGGACTTTCATGTCCTCTACTGAGGAAATGTATTAGGGACATACTGAGGAATATGGTGGAATCTTCACTATTTCCAGAACAGCAGAGGGGAGGGTGCAGGTAAATGACCTGAGTCTTTTTGTTTATGTGGATCTTTCTTTAGGAAAGGATCTAAGGGAACTAAACAGTAGACTCAAAAAGAGGGGGAAATGGACAATTCCTCAATCACATAGGAAGATTAGAATATATCCTTATTTGTGACTGCTAGGCTTGAAGATCCAAAAAATGAAAAGGTGTTTCAAAAAATGGGCAATACAGTCAAATTTCTGTCAAAAAAAAATATACAGGACATTTTTTCAGCACTTGTTAGACCACAAAATTTCAAAACCTAAAAAAAAAAATTTAGTAAGACATAATATTTATCATCCATCAAATACCATTTGGAAAACTGTAGATTCAGAAATTTTTAAATACTGAAAAAGTTATAGTCACTTTGTTTAGATAATTAGAATATGTATATGGAAAGATAAGAAAATTTTTGTGTCAGCCTTGTGATATTTAATTAATGAAAAAGTATTTAGAGGAAATAAGATAGCTGCAAATTCACATAGAAGTTTATTGGGCAATCCTTGTCCTACAGGTCCAATTCAAGAATTTTTTTAAAATATAGTAGAAGGCCAACAAAAGGCAGAAATGAAAATTATATTAAATATAATTAAAAGTTCTTTTGAGATAGTGATTTTAAAATGTGCAGACACTTAAACAGTACTAATAATAGTAAAGACTATTGATAGAGATTTTTTTAGGGGGTGGGAGAGGTAATTAAGGTTATTTATTTTTAGAGGAGGTACTGGGGATTGAACCCAGGACCTTGTGTATGCTAAGCATTCATGCTACCACTGAGCTATACCCTCCCCCTGATAGATTTTCAAAACCTGTAGAGATGACTATGAACAACTTTATCTTACTTATTTAAAAAATTGATAATAATTTTGTTTAATATAGAGTACTAAAACTGAATTAAGAAGAATTAGAGAGAACCATAAACAACTTAAAAACTTCAAAGTGTTCAACAAGACTGATTGCTATGCCAGAAAATGTCCCACATTTTCAAGGTACTGGCAGTTCTTGTCATTTACAAACTTTTTTCAATAGAGAAGATATGAACATATGTAACATTTCTACTATCTCTCATACTAAGACATCAAAAAGAAAGCAGTTTGACTTGTGAAGTTTGATGCAAAATGAATCATTAAAATATACACTATGACTGAGCAGATGTCATTCCAGTAATACGTGATATCTTAATATGCTAGGGGGGTTTTATATACCCTGCTATGGTGTGATAAATGAGAACATCTACCCCCATTATACTGATAGTTTCAGAGAAGCACATGAAACACTTCAACAGTTGTATTTAAAATAGAAATCCACAAAATAGACTCACAGACATAGAAAACAAACTCTGGCTACCAGTGGGGAAAGAAGGGGAAGGGATAGATTAGGAATCTGGTGTTAACAGATACACACTACTATATATAAAACAGATAAACAAGGACTTACTGTACAGCACAGGGAACTATATTCAATTTCTCATAATGAGCCATAATGGAAAAGAAACTGAAAAAAAATGTATACGTGTAACTGAATTGCTTTGCTATACACCTGAAACTGACCTTTCATTAAAAAATAATAAAAAAGTAAAATGAAATGGAAATCTACAGTTTGTGGTAATTTCTTACAGCTTGATGAAAGAAAATTTCTATTATAAGGCAAGACAGGAAACAAAATTAAACATAAAATCCTTGCTGCCTTGGTTTGGGCCACGTCCCTCCCTACTGTGCGATGTGCCTGCATTACACATTAGCCAGAGCTTCTCAGAATGGGAGTGCCTGCCCAGCCATTAACACTAGCGACCTACTTCTTCAAGAACAGCATCCTTCCCCAGCTGTGCACAGGGACCACAGTGACCTGCTGCTTGCTTTCCCTGCGTGCTAACCTGGACTACGTCTCCTTGGTCAACTTGATGTTGTTGACTCCAGTGTGTCATTTTGATGTCGGATCCTTTGTCCTGAAAACGTACGTGACCATACCTTTGAGTTTAAACAGGCTCCATCAGTCCTCAGAGCTTCCTGAGAATCTGCTTCCCGGGTTATCATCCTCAGGTTGGCTCAAATAAAACTCCCTTTTTTTCTTCCCAACTTGATCATAGATTGAATTTCTGTTGACAGGCTGCATTAGGTAACTAATGAAATTATGTACACAGACAAGCCCAGGGGACCTACAAAAATCTCTAGAATAAATGAGATTAGTCTATTCTGAGGATAAAAGATAGTATTTAAAAATCTATCGCACTTCTACACAGTAGCAATTAATACATGGAAAATGAAATTAAAAATACAGTAACATGTACGATTACTCAAAATAGAAAAAGTGGAAATATGTTAATCAAACAAAACACTGACAGGATTTTGATGCTGAAATCTATACAATGCTGGTGAAAGAAACCAAAGATCACACAAATATACATACATACTACAGCCATTTATTGGAAGATGTAACACAGAAATGATGTCAAGTGATTGCAAACCAATAGACAGGCTTAATGTATTTTCTATCAAGATATTTTGTAGACACAAACAAGATTTTGCTAAAATTTTTATGGAAAGGCAAAGGAATTGGAATAGCTAAAACATCTGGAGAAGAATAAAAGCAACTTTATTAAAGGTATTAAAATAAAAAATTTTGAAAGGTAGGAAGTAATCAAGACTGGTATTTGTGGAGAGACATACAGACCAATGGAACAGAACCCAGAAACTGCCCCAACAAATACTTTCAACTGAGTTTTTTTGGGGGGTGGAGTGGGGGCAGTAATTACGTTTTTTCTTTTTTTAATGGAGGCACTGGGGATTGAACCCAGGACCTCTTGCATGCTAAGCATGCACTCTACCACTCAGCTATGCCCTCCCCCTGCCCCAAACGAGTTTTGCAAAGGTACCAAGAAAACTGAATGAAGAAAGAATTTTAAAATGACACTGTATCAACTGATTTTCCATACTAGGGAAAAAAATCATGAAAGACTCCACCAAAACTTCACACCTGTACAAATATTAGCTCAAAACTGATCACAGCTTTAAATAGGAAATGTAAAACCATAGTACTTTAAGCTGTAAGAGATTTAGAAAAAGAAACCATAGGATAATATTCTCAGGACCTATCTCTATACTTTTGAGATCTATCTATCTATCTATCTATCTATCTAAGTTTTCACATATTTTGACTTTTCATTATTCTGTAGTATGTAATATCTCAGGTTAAAGCTGGAGAACTTAACACTTAGTTATTCCTCATCTGAATGCTCTCCTGTGAATTCTGTTGTGAAAAGTCATGAAGAAATTTAAAACACTCATTATATTTAAAAGGTTTCTTTCTATTAGGAATTCTTTGGTGAATCCTGGGCAGGGGGAAACACTTGCTTACAGGCCTTTCTAGATTCAGTAAATTGGTCTGGTTTCTCTCTAGTATAAATGCTCTCATGACATCAAAGGCATGAATGTTTAATAAAAAGCCTTCCCACATGCATTATATTTCTAAGGTTGCTCTCCAGTAGGAATTTTGTGATGTTCTGTATTTTCAGGGGGGGGGAGGTAGGTAATTAGGTTTATGTAGTTATTTTAATAGAGGTCCTGGGGATTGAACCCAGGACCTTGTGATGCTAAGCATATGCTCTAACCACTGAGCTATACCCTCCCCCTTGTAGCTTTGATCTATGGATAAAAGCCTTTATAAGCACATTACATTCTTGGGTTTTCATCAAAGATGTATATACTGATGTCCAGTGAGTTGTGGAGTCTGAATATCCCCTCTGTCGCGTAATTACATTGATAGAATTTCTCTTTAGTATGGACTTTCTGACATCAATTCATGCTTGAACTTATAATAAATGCTTTGATCTGCTCGTTACATTGGTAATGTTACTTCTTCATATGAAGTCTCCGAGTATGACTTACGAGGCTTGAGTTTTGAGTGAAGAGCTTGCCACATTCACTACATTTGTAAGGTTTCTCTCCTGTATGGACTTTCTTATGTCTGTTGAAGTTTGAGCAATGAATGAAGGATTTGCCGCACTGGTTACATTTGTATGGTTTCTCTCCAGTGTGAATTCTGCGATGGCTCGGAAGGCTGGAGCTCTGACTGAAGACCTTGCCACATTCGTTACATCTGTAAGGTTTCTCCCTCGTGTGGACGACCTGGTGGTACGTGAGACTGGAATACACACTGAACGCCTTGCCGCACTCAGGACACTGGTAAGGCTTCTCTCCAGTGTGTACTCTCCGGTGACTTACAAGGCTTGACTTTTGTGTGAAGACCTTGCCACATTCGTCACACTTGTGAGGTTTCTCTCTCGTATGGATTACCTGATGTCTGCTGAGATGTGAGCTCTGGTTAAAGGCTTTGCCGCATTCGGGGCATCTGTATGGTTTCAGTCCAGTGTGAATTCTGCGGTGACTGGACAGGCTGGAGCTCTGACTGAAGACTTTGCCACATTCGTTACACTTGTAAGGTTTCTCTTTTGTGTGGACGACCTGGTGATAATTAAGACTTGAAAATACGCTGAAGGCTTTGCCGCACTTGTGGCACTGGTAAGGCCTCTCCCCGGTGTGAACCCTGTGATGACGTATGAGGTGTGAGCTGTAACTGAAGGCCTTACCGCACACGTCACACTTGTAACGTTTCGCTCTCGTGTGGATTCTCTGATGCCGAGTGAGATGTGAGCTCTGATGAAAGGTCTTGCCACACTGAGTACACTGGTGAGGTTTCTCCCCGGTCTGGAGTCCCTGAGGGTGAGTCAGGCCTGACCACTCACGGAAGGCTTTGCCCCACTCATCACCTTGGTCATGTTTCTCTTCAGTCTGAATTCTGTGATGACCTGCTAGGTGTGAAGTGTGACTAAAGACGCCTCCACACACATCACCTTTACTCCCTCTCTCTCTGGCGTGGAGTATCTCAGGTCTGGTGGGGTGTGAGCCGCAATCCGCGGCTTGGTCAGACTCACCACATTTGTAAGGTCTTTCGCTCATGTGGGCTTTCTGCTCTCCTGTGAGTAAGGAAGAAGGCAAGAAACTGTTCCCACGTTCATCACAAATGTTGCTTTGGACACTAGGAAGAAATCTCTGAGGTGCTGCCGACGAGGAACCACTCGTGACAGACTTCTCGACTTCATTATAGTCGCAAAATTTCCCTTCAGTTTGAAATACCGACAGTTCCGCCAGATGTGACCCAAAGCTTAGTCCAGGCCTGTGGTCCACAGGCTTGTTCTCTTCATCTCTTGGACCACACCGAGCTCTTCCACCAGTGAGGGGTGTTTTGCGGGTCCCAGGCACGCCTTTGTAGTTTCTTTCATCATGTCTCCCCTGGTGCTCAGAGTCATGCTGGTTTTTCCAGATTTCCCTGCAGCCGTCCTCTTGGAGGGCACGGTGCTCCTGGCTTTCCAGAGACGCTGTGTGCAGTGTTTTCCCCGTATTATGGCTCTCTTTTGGTGGTGGTTCCTTGATCACACATTTAGGGGCAGTATCTACAAGACAGAAAGTACCACGTGTTTTCTCTTAATTGCAGTAGGTAAATAAATATTTCATTTTGAAGAACATAATCTTACACCACAAGTACTCAATAGTTTAATAACAGTTAAGAAATGTCGTAGTCGTGATCTTCAATTTTTTAGGAAATACAAATGGTTAGTAAAGAAAGGTTGGGGGGGAGGGTATAGCTCAGTGGTAGAGCGCATGCTTAGCATGTATGAGGTCCTGGGTTCAGTCCCTTGTACCTCCATTAAATAAATAAATAAACCTAATTCCTCCCTGCCAAAAACAAACAACTTTGGAGAAGGCAAAGACTTAAAAAGACTTTAAAAAACCAAGGGATCCTCTTCCAGAGCCAGCATACCACATGAGAACTGGAATTTACGTTAAGACCACTGCCTTTTTAACCATCAGGTCAGGTGAATACATAGGATTTTAAAGAATAAGAATTGGGGAAAGAAATCACCAGTCTGGCTTTACGCCTGCAGTTATTTCACAGCCCAGCAACAGAGCAGCCCTCTCTATGCAGTGCTCTTTAATTTTCCAGTAAACCAGGGGGAAGGCCCTCACCAGGAAGCGAACTGACTAACGCTACGGTCTCACACTTGGCGGCGTCCAGAACTCTGAGAAATACAATTCTGTTGTTTAAGTCACCAGGTTGATGGGGTTTGTTATGGAGGGCGAGGCTAAGACACAGGCCAAGGACTCATCTGGTTAAAAACATGACAGAAGGTTGACACGTCTTACTAAACAAAAGGGATTTTTGAGACTTGACTATAAAACCGGGAATATTCTGAGCCTTCTACCAGCACTAATCTATTTAAAAGCCTGGAGGTGAATTATCACTATTTTAAAACTAAGGACAGGAGGCACACAGGATTTATCTATCTAATCCCCAACTTACAGAGCAAGTAAGTTAGAGAAACAAGATTTGATCCTTGGCCTACAGGTTCCAAAGACACGTTCTTTAAGCGTGACTGCCTACCCAGGTAGCGCAGATAAGTCACAGTCACTCTCAGGGGCTTAGAAATAAACACTTAAAAAAAAGGAAAAATACACAAACAACAAGTTTACAGTGTACAGCACAGGGAACTATATTCAATATCTTGTTATAACCTATAATGAAAAAGAATATGAAAAGGAATATATGTATGTATGTGTATGACTGAGTCACTATGCCGTACACTAGAAATTGACACATTGTAAACTGACTATACTTCAGTTAAGGAAAAAAGCTCCCTGCCCCCTCAAAACAGAAGTAATCTTAACATTCAAAGGAAGAAAGAAAGAAACAGACCAAATATGGGGCGGGTGGAGAAAGAAATACTTTGATGGAGATGCCATAGCTGAGTCATATTCCAGAAATTGACAAACCATTGTAAACTGACTATACTTCAATTAAAAAAAAAAAGGTTCCTGCCCTCTCAAAAAAGAAGTAAACTTAACATTCAAAGAAAGAAAGAAACCAAATACGGGGGAAAAAAGAAAGAAAGACTTTGATGGAGATACAATAGCTGAGTTGTGTTCCAGAAATTGACACATTATAAACTGACTATACTTCAATTAAAAAAAAGCTCCTCCCCTCCCCACCAAAAAGAAGTAAACTTAACATTCAAATAAATAAACCAATCAAATATGAGGGAAAGAAAAAAAGAGAGAAATCCTCTGATGGAAAAACCGCAGCTGAGTTGTGCTGGAGCAGCGTTACCCAGGCATCCTCATGGATAATGGCATTGTCATCTTCAGTATATGCTGCTTTATGTAGTGAGTGTCCTGAAAGAGCTATTCAGTGGATGAGTAGGGGGCCCTTTCCTTACACAATGAGAGTCACATGGTGGTGAGGGGTCAGGAGGACAAAATGAATGTGCTGGGAAGTAACAGCGGAGTCCACCCAGATCAAGGTACTGTGCGACCAAAGGCCAGGGTTGATTGGAAGGTCCAGGGTGGGGAGGAGGAAGGACTGGGCATGGGGCAAAGTATCTGTACTGGCCAATCTGTGGGACCAGAAACATACCAGGGCTGTTAAAACTGTGACCTTGGGAGAGAAGAGAAACTGATATAGCAAGGAGCGTAACACTGTCCCTTTCTTAACCTTAGGGCACAGGGCAGAAGGGAAGGGATCTGAAAGGGAGGGTGTGAGATGATGAGGGAAGAAACCAGGTTTAGTGACACAGAACAGAATCACTGCCACCTGAGGCTGGGGGTCCTGGAGGTGGGGAGAGGTTGGTAGAAGGGGACAAAGTTTCAGTCATAAGATGAGTAAGGGCTGGAGATTCAATGTATAACATGACTACTATGGTGGATAATACTATAAAACTGAAATTTGCTAAGGAAATAGAAATTAAGTGTTCTTACCAAAAAGAAAGAAAAAAGGTGATGTGTGAGGTAACATATGCATTAATGAACTCGATGGGAATCCTTTCACATGCATATCAGATCATCGTGTTGTACACTTAAGAAATATCACAATTTTATTTGATAACTACCTGAATAAACTAAAAAAAACAAAAAACAAAACCCAATTTCAAAAGTTCATCCACTGGTTGTCTCCTCCTGAATGCAGAGGGAGGAGTCTAATATGCAGACATTTAGCTCTCTTCTGAGAATGACTGAATCAAAAGCACAGGGGTGGAGAAGAGGAAGGTGGATATTTTAAGTTTGCTGTAAAGTTTTATGTGTATTTAAGCTCTAGAACCACCCTTGATCATGAAATGGGCAGATCATACGCAGAAAGGACAAGTTTTAAGTCCGGCTGCTGCCTGAGGAAGTTTTTCGTGAGTGAGTCAACAGGGCTTTGAGCTCAGCCAGGCAATGTCAGGGCTCCTAAGGGGCACACGGGGAAAAACACAAAGCTACCCAAGAGCAGATCCCAACTTCTAGAGGGCAGTTCTCCTCACCCACAGAGATCAGGTTCCTGTAGGTCTCCAACATCACGTCCCTGTATAAGGTCCGCTGAGCAGGGTCCAGGCACTCCCATTCCTCCGGAGAGAATTCGATGGCCACATCCTTGAATGTCAACCATCGCTGAAAAGAAAACACATTTCACCAAAGGAGCCATACGGAGTCGTCTCCTTCACACAAAATGAGAGGAGGAGAGAGTGGTAAGGAGTAATTCAATTGAAATGAGTGTTGTTACAGATCCACTTACAGGATTTCTGAGCAATTGCATGTCCCTCATTTTGGTTTATTATACTTTTCCGTAAGAGGTTATGATAGCCTCTATGTCAGTGTGGATTTCCCACTTTTGTGGACAATACAAGAAATACACACACACACAAAACACAGGATTATGTATATAGAAACGTGAGACATTACGTTCCACACACCAAGTAACATTCAGTGTCTAGAAGAACTACAGCATGAGCGACATCTTCAGAGATAATAACGTCCACAGTGGCTTTAAAGAAGCTTCAGAGTCTAAGATCATGATGAGGGCAACAATATGGTCGAAGTGTTTAAATACTTTCATGTGCTATGACTCTAAATGCTTTACGTGTATTAACTTGTATAATAACGTAATAGAAGATTTTAAAAGATCTGGTCCTATCCCTCTTAAGGAAGACACAACTGTGTCACAGACATTCTGAGTCACCTGCCTCTGGTCAAACTGCTAAATACAGTAGAGCATGTGTATAAACCCAGGTGTTAATGTTTTAAAACGAAACCTAAAGAATTTAAGTTATGTTAAAGCATCCAAAGTACATTGACAGAGGGTTCCCTGAGGAAACTTGAAACAAGTTCAAAGCTAACAATGTGGAATGGCATAAAATGGCATTACACACAACACTATAAACTGACTACACTTCAATTAAAAAAAAATTTTTTTAAAAGTCCATCATATACACTTGCGCACACACACACACATAAACGTTAACTCTTATTAGTATTTAACCCGTGAATGTCATAGTGTAGAAACAGCTTAAGGCAATGGAAAATACTTAAGATATAATTTCAACAAGTAAATAATTTATAACTTATAAATAATGATATATATTTCATACAAACCATGGGCTTGGGCGTCCACGTACTTACGCACACACAAATATACACTTAAATTTACAGGACCACGGTGGAGCCTCTTCACAGGGTCCATGTCACTGGGTGATCATAAGACAGAATCCAAGTGAGGCTGACAGGCACTGAGGGAGGGTCCTGGGTGAGTGTGAACGTACAGGTGTCAGGCAGGATACTTCAGAGTTACACAGGATTAGCGAGTCCAAAGAAGGGCATTTCAGGAAGGACAGACAAAAACAATCGACTGAGAACATGACTTTACCTGAGACAGAGTCTTTCTTGACCTCTTTTCTTTCCTTTTCCTTCTCTTCCCGGCTTCTTCCTCGGGGAACATGAGTCTTCAGAATTCAATCCTGAAAGTTGGAAAGATGTCATTTAATGCTGAGAATCAACACACCCCTTCCTGTGCCACAACCACACACACAAGGGAGACCTCACCACGTGGAACAGACAGTCCCCTGCTGCCCACTGTCCCAGAGGGACTCAGGACAGGACACTCCACACACAGACCAACAAAGGAGTTTCTCCACAGCGTCCTTCAGATCATGCTCCCCTTCTGGTGATGTTACAGAAACCTGATCCCGTAGAGAGACCAAACAACACTCGGAGGGTTGGAGAACTCACGTTTATTACGCTGGCGGACCCAGAGGAGTTAACACTCCAAGCTCTTGACCCCGTCTGTAGGTTTACACAGGTTTTTATAGGGTTTTAGGAACAAAGAAATCACGTGGTCTTGGGTTTTTGCACCGCTGGTGGGGTGGGGAAGGGTTAACTTCAGTTTCCCAAGAGCAAGCTGTTTTACAGAAACAGATAAGCAATGTCCCTGCCTGAGAGGCCTCCATAGTCTGTCCTTGTGGGCTTGTCCTCTGTAGTGAGCCCCTCACCCACATGGCAGCAGTGGGCGCCTCAGCTGGGCCCGACAGCCCCTTCAGGTCACAGACCAGGCCCTGAGCCATCCCCACGCAGAGCAGAGCCCCCTCACCTCTCCCAGGGGCTGATCTCAGCCTCATAAATGGAGGACCCAGAACCTTGGTGCTCAACACAGGATACAGATCAGAATCACATGGGGCACCTTCAGCGTTACTGGAGCTAGGCCCCAGCCAACTATCTGAAGAGAATCTCTGGTCAGGAGGGTACTGAACACATATATGCAAAATGCCTCAGTGATCCAATGTGCAGCCTGGTTGATCATCATTTAAGGAAGCAAACCCAGCACCCCTCCCATCTTCTGATTCTTTTCTCCTCGTGGCGAATTGCTGTCACCAGGAACCAGCCATGAAGGAGCAGAAGAAAACACACCAAGTGGACAATATGGACCAGAGCTGGGGGTGAGGGTGTGGCTCGTGTGTCAAATGGGAGGAAGGGGGAGGTCAGAGGAGGCTCCACTCAGGTGACATCAGAACAAAGATCTGGGGGAGGAGGGATGTTTGCCTGTATTTTATTTTATTTCTTTTTAAATATTTTTTTGGGGGGAAGGGGAGGTAATTAGGTTTGTTTCTTTGTTTATTTAATTTTATTTTTACTGGAGGTACTAGGGATAGAACCCAGGACCTTCTGCATGCTAAGCACGCGTTCTATCACTGAGCTATATCCTCCCCACTTTGTTGTTTTGTTTTTAATTTTTTTTCATTTTTGGAGGACTAGGGCCCATTGTGAATTCTAATGACAACTGAGCACTCCATCCAAGAACTGCCAGACACAGACACACACTGAATCTTAGTAATCATTTCAGGGGTCAGTGCTGCTCAGATTCAGAGTTTCTGCTTTAGTCCATCATCTCCTTGTTGAGGTGGACTCACTGAGCCCTACAGAGGGAGTCACTTCACCCAGCTATCCTGATAAGACCTGAGTTGAGTGAGCAGAGCCGAGTGGAACTCAATTCTGAAGTGGCGGCCTGTACTGGGCACGGTTTATCCTTATCACTCTTCTCCCTTAAAAATTCCAGGTCTACGGCCATACCGCCCTGAATGCGTCTGATCTCAGAAGCTAAGCAGGGTCAGGTCTGGTTAGTACTTAGGAGGGGGTGGGTATAGCTCCCCTAAGTGGTGGATCGCGTGCTTAGTATGTGCGAGGTCCTGAGTTCAATCCCCAGTACCTCCTTCAAAAAAAAAAAATTCCAGGACCATCTTTCACCTGTGCCTGAGCAAAGGGAACTTCTATTTCAAGATCTGGTCACACTGATCTCAAGCACTAAACTCCTCTTTTCCAGAAAAATCACAGTAAAACATTTACAGAATACATTATTTTGAATACACAGCAACTGCTGCTGACAACTGCAAGAGGGTCACCTAGAGAAATAAGCTCTGAGCAAACTGCTTCATCATGAATTGTGGGGCTCTGCTGGAAGAAGGTACCAAGTCAATTCAGCCCATTCTTCAATATCTGCAGGAAGTAGAGACGAGACTTGAGGGGAACATCTACTGGATAGCCCACAGTTCACTATTTAGTAAGTCACACACAGAGGAAGAAAATGGGATTTTACAGAAATAGGTTAAACTAGGTTTAGATAAAGTACTGGGGATTGAATCCAGCACCCTGTGTATTCTGAGCATGCACTCTACCACCGAGCTACAAGCCTCCTGCCTGAAGTAGGTTTAGATTGTTAAGATAAAAGATCATTTACATTCTTACCAAGTATACACTGGAACAGGCTAAAATTCTTTGCCACGTTCCAAGAAAGGTTTCCAATAAATAGCAGAGAGCCTGTAGGCCTCAGTCTGTACTGGACACAATTTAAAAGGGAAGTCATTTAAAAACCGAAGGGGAAAAAAAAACCTAATGAATCATGTAGTCAAAACTTATAAAAATAAGGATATGTCATATTTTGAAAGGATGCCTTGAGCTGTTTACAGGATGCCATCAAAGTTTTTGTTAGAAGTTAAAAAATTATTTATAAAAATAGTATAAATTGAATAAACTAAGACTTATTTCAAACGTCAAAAAAGCAATGAATTATTAACAGACACACTACTATTTATAAAACAGATAAACAACAAAGACCTACTGTATAGCACAAGGAACTATATTCAATATCTTGTAATACCTTATAATGAAAAAGAATCTGAAAAGGAGCTTATAGGTATAACTGAATTATTTTGCTGGACACTTGAAACTAACACAATATTGTAAATCAACTCTACTTCAATAAAAAAATAAATTTAAAAATCAGGGGGTGGGGGTGGGTACAGCTCAGTGGTAGAGCACCTGTTTAGCATGCATGAGGTCCTGGATTCAATCCCTAGTACCTCCATTAAAAATAAAAATACAAAATACAAAATAAAATCATTTCCTTCAAAAAATGAATTAAATGCAAAAGAATTAGGAAGAAAAAAGTAAATCTATTATGAAAAACAACAGCACTTTCTGTGTTCCTTTAAAAAGGCACCACGTAATGACAGTCATTTCTTGCCCTACTTCTCATTCCCCCCGCCCACCCCATGCCAGGAAAGGGTAACGGGGTGCCCCATAGCCACCTGAGTCAAGTCATTGTCCCGTGGCCGAAAAAGGACCACAAATGGAAGTTGTCTTCTGATACAAGTAATTACAAAATGCACAAGCCTTTTAGAAAGTTTTGCAAATGGCATTCTCACTTGCATAATTTAACCAAATTTTAAATGCATTACTTTATAAAGACACAAATAAATATCTCATCACTTAATCCTCCACAGTAATCAACTCGATGATCCTCTGCCTCCCTCTTTCTTCGGGACTACATATTTCCCTCTCTCATTTCTGTCTTTGCTTTTCTGTGTTCTCTCCTGCCCTGCTGTTTCTCCCCATCTCTGTATTCCTCCTCTCACAACTGTTCCACTCTATTCTGGCAACTTGCTCCCTCTCTTGTAGCTCTTTCTCCTCAGTCTCCCTGATTGTCTCAAATCTTCATGTATTTCTGCCTATTCCCTTATCTTCGCTCTCTGTTACGTTCGCTTTGCCCCTGCTGGCCCGCCTTGTCCCCACCTTCTGGCACCCCCGGCTTGCTGTGCTTTTCCCTTGCCATTTCCCTTTCTGTTCTAGTCTCCCACTGTCCCTTCTTTCTGTACCAGCACAAAGTTGCTCTGTCTGCCCCACTCTTTTATCTTCCTCCCTACTCTCTGTAAAATGCCTCCTTTCTTACCCATGCTCCTCTTGCTGATCAAGGGCCCCCTCTCCCTATTTTGCTCCTGTTCATCTCCCTGGAGAGTTCCCCTTGCTTACTCTAAATATCTTCTTTTCTCCCCCTGCTAATTTCTCAGCTTATTTTTCCTTACTGTGAAACAGAACAAAGAAAACCTCGTCTAAAATGGAGTCTGGAGGCCTTAAGGGAAAGCCCTCACGCACCATCACTGGAGGTCAATTACAAACTCCAGCGAGAAGACATCAATTAACGGACCTCAACGGAATTCTCCTTACCCAGCAGCAAGCACAGCCAATAGGAAACGCCTTCCATCGGGAAACGCCTTCCGCCGTGAACTTTTGCTTTCCTTCAATGGACTTCTCTTCAAAACAACCACTCCTAACTTCCTTCTTTTTCTCTATAAAGCAACATTCCTCTCATTCGCTGGTTGTACTTGCCTATGGTTGTTTTGCTAGTTTGCCTGTCCTGTATTGCAATTCCTTTTCTATTCCTGAATAAACCCACTCTGCCCGTAAAATCACTGGCTGTTTTACCCTTTAGGACAACTCTTACTGTCTCTTCACAAGTTCCTCCTCTATCCTTCACTGTGCCATCTGTTTATGGTTCTCTCTTACTCCTCTTTTTTCATTCTTCTAACTCTGAGTGGGTCTGACTCTCCTTGATTTCTCTTGCCCAGGAATGGGACGGAATTAAAAGCCCGCCTATTAATTCCACATTAATAGAGCACATTATCCAGTGGGTTGGCATTTGGGACAGAAAAACTCTGGGGTGTCTCAAAACAGGCCCTTTTTAGTCACCTCCCTCTACACAAGATGACCAACAAGGGGAGGTCAGGGTAGCGGAAGGACCCAGAGGAGGGTGCGAGGGGACGAAAAAGGGGTGTGTTTCAAGAACGGGGCGGGCTCTCCAGAATCCCAGGATCAGAAAGAGGAAACGGCCTCTCCTGAAGCGGGGCGATCGGCGCAGCCCTCCAGGGGCGGAGCGGCAAGGCTCGCGGGTGCGAAAGGCACGGATTCTGCTAGCGGACTTCAAAACGAAACGTCAGCGGCCCCTCCCTCCCGCCGCTCCGCGACGGCTGCATTCACTTTGGGTGGCGGACGCCTGCCTGGATTTTAAAGTCCTTAGCGACCCTCGGATCCCGGTATGGAGGAAGGGCGGAGTACAGTAAAGCGCAGGTTTAAACAAGAAAGATGAGACTTACGCTTGGTAGGGTGAACTCCGCTCCCGGTAACCGCTTCCGGGTCTGCAGGAAACGGCGCGCTGGCGCGAAGGAAGAGGCGGGGCGACCTGGAGGCGGGGCCTGGACGGGGCGGGAACGTAGAGGGGTGGAAAGAGACAGAGCTGGGGCGGGGCCAGAGCTGGGGCGGGGAGAGAGGCCAGGCTGGGGCGGGGCCAGGGTTCCTCTCGCTGTCCTCCTGGGTTTTCAAGGGTTTGTAAATGCATCACTCTGTTTCTTCTTCTGTGAAGCCTCGTTGCTTCCTGCTAATTTTAAGTTACTGCTGAAACCGAGTAGGACATTCGGGAACCCTCTTGGGTGTACATCTTTTCTGTGTCTCCCTGTCTTGTTTGTAGGAAATAGGCTTCAGCCTCTTAGACCTTCCTTCAATACTAGAGGGCAGATTCAAACAGTTACTAGTGAGGGGAGGCCGAAACAAAGAAGGAGCAGTCAAGAAACGATAAGCTAACAATTAAAGCAGGATCCTGGTTCCTCAAGGAATATACAACACGTCTATGCGTTCTACTGGAATTAAGTGCCTCCCTCCCCCAGCAAGTGGAGGATGGTAACTTCAGGCTGAGTACAAGATTCCTGAAACACCACCCTGTTACCTCACCACCAACACACCCTTCAGCCCTCAGCCCAAATTTTGCCTATGAAAACTTCTCCCCACAAACCATCAGGGAGTTCGGGTTTTTTGAGCATGACCCACTCTTTCTCCTTACTTGACCCTGCAATACAACTTTCTCTGCTCCAAGCTCTGATTTTTTGGTTTGTTTGACCTCACTGTGCTTCCAGCATATTTGGTAATACTGTCTGTCTCTAAAAGGCTTGTTTTCTTTTTTTTTTTTTGGAGGTACTGGGGATTGAACCCAGGACCTCCTATATGCAAAGCATACGCTCTACCACTGAGCTACAATCTCTCTCCACCCCCAACAGTTTTAACATAAAAGCTACAGTTGTGTGCACCATTTATATTAGAACCTAAAATGTTTTCTTCTTCACAGTTGAAAACTATTTAAATCAAAAGCTATTTTGATGAGCACGTTGGAGTTCTGCCAGTGAGGCTGAAGCAACACTGTGGTCTGCGGAATCCATGTTGAGTGGTGGTTGGATGTAGCTACTTTCCTGCAATTAAAATTAATTTCACCATTCACCTCTGAGTCAGAGACGCAACCCTGTACTTGATTTTAGAGACTTTCATGTGGAGAAGACTTGAGAATGGGACATGGAGGGCTAAGGCAATTTAGGCCACCAATCATTACTTTAGAAAAAGCAATAAATTTTAAAAGTAGATTAAATTGCATTGTTTGTTCTTTTAATACTTATTATGTAGTTCCCTACTTGAGATGAATTATGCTCAAATACATTTGAGGTAAACGTCACTGACATCATAATAAGATCACAAGTTAATAATTTCTAAATATAAAGTCATTTCAAATTCACTTTACACTCATTCTGAAGGTAATTAGAAAACATTTTTTGTTTAAAATTTGTCATTTTATTTGTTTTCTATTTCTGGGTGTTCTGTCAGATGTGGATAAGAAAGCCTGTAAATAATAATTCTTAGACCACACTTCAACGTATTTTCACCTAAAAAGTAATTAATTTTGAGTATTTCTAAGGGTAGCAATACAGAGGTATATATTTTATATAAACCCTAATGAAAGTAAAACTAGATTTTCAAATTTCTAATAGCCTAATTTTTGCAGTCAATAATTTTTATGGCATTATCTGTGAGTTACTTCTACTATGAAATAGGTATTTTTCTTGTATCCTTACTTGTGGGAGATTTCACCATAGAGAAATGGTAATCAATTAAAATATGGTAGGTAATATTTTGATAGGAAAAAATTAGCATATTTAAGATGTTTTCAGGTAAAATAAACAGAATGTTCTGGCATGGCCCAAAGGTGGATACCTAACAATATAATAGCACTTCAAAAAAATATGTGATGTCTGAGATGGATTTTGAGATCTTCAGAAGGTAGATTATTCTGTGTGATGTGATATGGCTAACCAGCCACTGAAGGGCAGCAGAATATGCCATCCCAAAATATGCCCTTCTGGCGTAAGAATTATTTTGAGCTGATACAGCAGACATAGATGAAGCTCTGGAAACAGAGTAGATATTACCCTTTTGAGCAGAACTATTTACGGTAGCCAAGACAGGGAAGCAACCTAAATGTCCACTGTCAGATGATGGATAAAAAAAAGATGTGGAATATATACAAAATGGGCTATTACTCAGCCATAAAAAAATAATGAAATAATGCTGTTTGCAGCAACATGGATGAACCTGGAGATCATCCTACTAAGTGAATTAAGGAGAAAGAAAAAGAAAAATACCATATGGCATCACTTATATGTGGAATCTTTAAAAAAAAAAAAGGACACAAATTAACTCATTTACAAAACAGAGACAGACTCATAGACAGAAAACAAACATGGTTACCAAGGGGGAAAGATGGTGGGGAGGGATAATTTGTGAGTTCAGGATTTGTAGATACACACTACTATATATAAAATAGATAAACAACAAGGTCCTACTATATAGCACATGGAGCTATATTCAATATCTTTTAATAACATATACTGGAAAACAGTCTGAAAGAGGGTATATATATATGTATAAATGAATCACTATGCTGTACACCAGAAATTAACACAAGATTATAAATCGACTATAGTTCAATAAAAAAGTAGCCTTTAAAAATTTTTATTTATTTGTTTTGGGGGAGAGGTAACTAGGTTTACTTATTTATTTATTTATTTGATGGAGGTACTGGGGATTGAACCCAGGAACTAGTGCATGCTAAGCATGCTCTCTTCCACTGGAGCTATACCCTCCACCCACTCAAAGACCAATTGTTTTTTCTTGAGGACACGCTTGTAATCAGTTGTATCTGCTCATATTACAGGGTGAGATTTTTCTTGCAGTCTGTGCAGTCTTTAGGTTGTGATGCACACTGCTTTCTGGTTTAATGCTTACTTAATAATAAAATTTAATAATTTTCTAAAATTGAAGTATAGTTGCCTTATAATGTTGTGTTAGTTTCTGGTGTACAGTATAGTGATTTGGTTGTACATATATATTATTTCTTTTCATGTTCCTTTTCATTACAGGTTATTACAAGCTATTGAATATATAGTTTTCTGTGCTATACAGTATCTTCTTCTTGTTTACCTGTTTTGTATACAGCAGTTTGCATCTGCTAATCCCAAACTCCTAATTTATCCCTCCCCGCTCCTTTCCCCTTTGCTAACCATAGGTATGTTTTCTACGTCTGTGAGTCCATTTCCGTTTTGCAAGTTCATTTGTGTCTTTTTTTTAGATTCCACATACAAATGATATTTGTTTTTCTCTGTCTGACTTAGTATAATCTCTAGGCCCATCCATGTTGCTGCAAATGGCATTATTTTATTCTTTTTTATGACTAGTATGCCGCAATTTCTGTCAATGGACATTTAGGTTGCTTCCATGTCTTGGCTATAAAATTGCTTTCTCCCTCTGCCACCTCGGTGGAGAGGAGTTCTGGGTTGTCAGAAGACGGTTTTTATTTTTAATTATATTACCCCACACCAACCGCTGGCAAAAAGAGCTTTGACTTAAACCGCTTTCAACTAACGCGGAAACATCTCAAACTTACAAGTGGCCCTCGCAACTCTAATCTTTTTCTTAAAATTACTTGAAACATTAAGTTAAAATAGCGAATGAGGAAGCGGCTGGAGTCTTGGGACATCAACGAGATTCAAAGAATTCAACAACAGAGGACCAAGCGCTGCCCGGCAGAAAAACAGCTCTGAAAAGGCCCGGGGGCGCGGCGGAGACAGACAGGGCTCCCTCCAGGCCCGGCCCCGCCCCTCCCACATCTCGCTTTCAGTCCAGTTACGGCCGCAGCCCACGCCCCGCCCCTCGTCGGCTCCACCTGCTGGGCGACCGCGCAGGCGCAGTTTCCTGCACACCCGGAAGCGGAGCGAGGGGCGCTGTCGGTCTTTCAGGTCCATCCCGAGTTTTTGAGACTCCCCCGGGGCCCCGATCCGCCCCACCTGAGGTTCAGGAATCCTCACGTACGTTAAAAACCCCTTCATCAGCTCGCTCCGCGCCCGGTAAGTCCTGGCAGCAGTGAGACGTTCTGGGCCTGATTGCATCGTGCGGGTCAGCGGGTCCGCGTCTAGTTCGAGTTAAAATCGCCCTGAAGCGGGTCCCCGCCCTGGCCGTTCTGCCTTCTGCTCAGGTAGACGCTGTCACTTTCCTGCTTAAACCCTTCAGTGACTTGCACAGCCTCCATCCCCTCTCCCTCCCCGCCGTGCCGGGTAAACTCTTCACTACGGAGGTGGATTCTCGTCCTCCACTTGGTCCTTCCAGGGCAGAGATGGCCGTGCAGACCCGGAGGCCACATCTCGTTGGCCTTCGGGTTGTGCTGATACCACTCCTCTCCTGACATCCTCCCCTTCTGCGCGTCCTCTGGGTCAGGCCCCTCCCCTCCCTAGTCGTCCACTTTGCACTTACCGCCTTGGGGGAGATCGCTGACCCTTGCGCAGGGGGAGGTGCCCTGCACCCGTCCGGTGACATTCTTTGTTTTCTTCGGCACGAAACGCGTCTCACTGGCTGTGCTTGCCGTGGTGTTTACATTCCCGAAGCCCCACTGGAAAGTGCTCTTTCTTGGGCAAAGGAGGTCTTTATCCCATACCTGTGAATGTGCAGAGGCAGTGGGTGGAGCAGGGTCTGAGGGAGAATCAGAAAGACTGAGAGAGGCAAACAATGAAAAAGGGTGAAACAGAGGATAGGGCAGATAGATGTGGACATACAGTAAGAACAAAAGAGTGAACCAGGGGAAGAAACCTAGATAAAAAGGCATCTTCAGAAAGACAGAGGGTTGCAAACTGGACAAGAGAGACTGATCAGCGGTAGGAGGGGCAGATACACCAAACTGAGAGAGTGTGGAAGGAATAAAAGAGTTGGGGCCATGGAAAACGGAGAGACGTGGTGCTGGGACAGAAAGTGGGGTGAGAGGTGGCAGGGGGAGCAGAGGGTGAAACAGCAGCATCCCTTCAATGCCTTCCCACTGCCTTCAGGAAAATCCTCCTTTAAAAAAATGGAAGTATAGTTGATTTACAATGTGTTAGTTTCTGGTGTACAGCATAGTGACTCAGTCATACACATGTATATTATTTTTCATGTTCTCTTTCATCACAGGTTATTACAGGATATTGAGTATAGTCCCCTGTGCTCTACAGTAGGACCTGCTTGTTTATATTTCTAAATCTAGTGGTTTATTCTTGGTCATCATCCTGTCCTGTCAAAAACTTGTTGCACTCCCTCTTCTGGAAGCACTTTATTCTTGGCTTTCATATCACACTATTTTTAGGAAGTAAATCTGTCTACCAATCAGCCGTTTTAATTTTCTTCTCCCTGTTCACCCCTGGGTTCTTTGGAATTCCCTGGTCTCTGACTGCAGGGAAGTATCCCTGGGCTTAGGCCTTGAACTTCTTCTCTTCTCTGCACCTTTCCAAGGCAGGACTTTATTTATTTTTACTTTTTTTAGTGAAGGTACTTGGGACTGAACTCAGAACCTCGTGCATGCTAAGCACGCGCCCTACCACTGAGCTATACCTGACCCTCCCATCTTGTGACTTTCAACACTGTCTCCTTTCCCCTCTCCATGCAGACTTCTCCTTGGAAATCAGAGTCCTGTATCCAGCTGTCTCCTCGACATCTCTGCTGGCACATCTAACTGGCATCTTCACCTTCATGCGTCCAAAAATGACCCCCTGAACTCTCCCGGATGTGTTCTCTTGCAGTCCTCCCACGTCTCAGTATAGGGCGACTCTGCACTTCCAGGGGCTTAGGTGAGCATCTCAGAATGTTTTTGGTTTTGTTTAAATGGAGGTACTGGGATTGAATCCAGGACCTTGTTCATGCTAAGCACACACTCTACCACTTAGCTCTACCCTCCCCACCAGCATGTTTTAAAAATACACAAGAGATTACCTGCTAGTGTTTTAACTAAAGACAAAATAAATTTAAAAATAGACGTTTGCTTAAAATGTATAGGGAAACACATGGTTTCTAAAAATCTCCTGGGTATGCGGAAGTGTTTGAAGACCAAGGCCCTTTCTTAGCTGCTTCTTCTAACACCCTTCTGATCTCATCTCCTCCTAGCCCCCTCTGCACTCATTCCACTCCAGCCACACAGGCCTCTTTGCCCTTGCTGGGGCCAGAGATGCCCCTACCTCAGGGCCTTCCCATGGCGACCCTCTGCCTAGAAGTCTATGACCCCTCCCTGGCCGACGGCAAAATCCTTTTTCTCTGGTTTGTGTTCTGATATCACCTCCTCCTGGCATCTTCTCCAGCTTGTTTCCTCCCCTTAATAATAACCTTCCACCTCACCCCCACTTCCGGCCCACGTTTCTTTGTGGTTTCCGGTTTCCCTTCCACTGGCTGGATGCACCTGACAGCGAGGCCCTGGGAGGCAGAAGAGCCATCAGGTGGGAGAGGTGCTCAGCCCCAGAGCACAGCAGACCGCTGAGCTACATCTCTTGTGCTCTCCACCCCCGCGCCCCCCACCCCAGACCAGAGTCCCCTTCAGAAGGTCAAGTCGGATGGGGCCTCCCTGATGTTTAAAGTGCCTCCGGTGATTCTGATCTGTATCCAGCGCTAAGCAGCCAAGCTCTGGGTCCTCCACTCACGAGGCTGAGTGATCGGGGGCCCGGTTCTGAATGGAGTTTGATCAGGGCGGATCTGTGACCAAGGGGAGGTTCAGTCCAGACCAGATCCCCACTGCTGCACCGCATATGCGAGGGCCTCACCAGGAAGGGCGCATGGTCTGAAGGAAAGGGTAGGGAAACTGCCTTGTTGATCCGTGTGTGGAATTTCCTGTCCTGAGACCCTCCTGTGACAGTGGGCAGCAGGCTGTTCCACGTGGTGAGGTCTCCCCCGTGTGTGTGGTTGTGGCACAGGAAGGGGTGTTGATTCTAAGCGTTAAACAACATATTCTTGACACAGGATTGACTTCTCAAGATCGATCTTGTTTGAGGAAGAAACCTGGAAGAGGAGGAACAGGAAAGAGAAGGGGTCAGGAATGGCTCTGTCTCAGGTAAAGTCATGTAACAGTCAATTATAGCTGATTATTTCATCTGTCCTTGAAATGCCCTTCTTTGGATTCACTAATCTTGTCTGACTCTGAAGTATCCTGCCTGACACCTGTACATTCAGTCACCCAGGACCTTCCCTCAGTGCCTGTCCTCCCTACTTAGACTCCACCCCCCGGACCGCGGGACCTGAAACTTGTGAAGCGGCTCCCCAGCTCCCCGGGCTGCGTCCTGGGCGGGCTTCACCCCCGGGATTGGAGACGCGGAGTCAGTGCTGTGGGGCAGCAGGGGGAGTTTAGGGGCCCATCTGTGCACTGCTGGCTCCCTGTGGCCCAGGATGGAAGAAGGTACACTTGGAAGTTATGTATTAGTGTGTGGGAATAGTTGCAAAATTCTGGAAATGACGAGTGATAAGAGGAAACCAGCTCTGCCTGACTTTACAGTGCACTCAGAGCTATAAACAAGTGGATCATGGTGTTTCTGGTTCCAAAATACAAATGATTCAGAATGGAGTATAAAGTTCAGATCAGGCATCAGTGACATAGGATGTTTTATTCGATAATTGGTTTTAAAGTATAGAATCAATCTAAATACCTAAGAGTAAGAGGTTTTAAAAAACCATTCTCAGCACATCCACCCCACGGAGACCACGCTGTTCCTGCAAGGACCATCATGCAGCAGATGTTGTAAGTAAACATGGTCATAATTCAGCCAAGACATGGAGCACAGAACTTCATCTTTGTCATCAGAGAGGCTGTAGCCAAATTCTGGTTCCACCATTATTAATAAATATTATACTTATTTTATTTTAAACATCACATTATGTATTTTGTGGTCAAATTCCGCCCCTCAAACAGCAGCTTAGACACTAAGATGCAAAGCATCCCCTTCCATGCCTCACATGTCGATGAGGGACCACTGTTGTCCGTTCTGTGGCACGCATCAACTCAAATCTTACAAAATTGCACTTTGCGTCATTATGAGATTTTAGAAAAAATTCTTCAATGAATGTTTATGTAGTATTTTATTATGGAAATTGTTAAAACCTTACACAGCACTTGTCTAGAAGTTTTTTTGTTTTTGTTTTTTGTTAATGGAGGTACTGGGGGTTGAACTCAGGACCTCCTGCATGCTAAGCATGTGCTCTGCCACTGGGCTATACCCCTGCCCCCCTAGAAGTTGTTTTCATGTTAGTAAACACAGATACAGCTTGCTCTTAGATCCTCATTGGAACATTCTCTTAATGAAGATATGAGGGCCGTTTACAATTTTTTGCTGATACAAAGAATGCCTCGGTGGCTGCCTCTGAGCAGGCTGACTTCCCTGCAGATGTCTGGGGATTTCTCTGGGCATCCTGACATGTGGTTACTGGGTCAAGAATAGCGCGTTTCATACTCTGACAGATTTTTTCAGATGCCCTCCCCTAAAGCAGCAGAGGTACCCTCCCCAACAACAGCGGAGGTCTCCCTTGATGTAAGGAAAACCTGGTACTGTATCCTTTTTGTACTTTGAAAGTTTAGGGGGAAATGACAATACTTTGTTTCTATTTCCATTTCCCAATTGCTTGTAAGTCAGTTTCATTCTTTTCTGGAAATACGGATTTTCATTTTCATACTTTGCTCAGTTTTCTTTGGATATGTTTTTAAGAGCTGTTTCGTATTTTGTGGTTTCTCTACACATATTCTGGTGTCTTTCTTAGTTTATCACTTCCTTCCAGTGACACATACATTTCTTTCCTTCCTGTCCTCTGCTTTCTGGCCTTGCTTTGGAAGGCCTCCCCAGGCATCATTTCAAAGTATTATGTTCCATACAGTCCTAATGTTTTCTGTTTAAAATTCTCTCTTTAATTTGGATTTAACTAAATCTCTTTAATCTGGCTTTCTGTATGTATCTTACAGCTATTTTATCTCATGCAGTTTAGTTTCAGATATTACACCCATTTGTGCATACACCCCACCGCACACATATACATGTATATTAATAGGTTCACATGTAGTTTCGCAAGGCCTACCATTTTGTTTTTCTCTTCAAAATTTTCTCTCTCCTCAAAGACAAATATCGTATGATACCACTTATATGTGTGGAATCTAAAAAATGATACAAATGAATTTATTTACAAAACAGAAATAGACTCACAGACACAGAAAACAAACTAATGGTTATCAAAGGGGAAGAGGGAAAAGTTAGGAGTTTGGGATGAACAGATACATACTACTATATATGAAATAGATGAACAACAAGGACCTACTGTAAAGCACAGGGAACTATACTCGGTATCTTGTAATAACCAGTGAAGGAAAAGAATTGGAAAAAGAATATATCGATATCTAGATATAGATATAACTGAATCACTTTGCTGTACACCAGAAACTAACCAACTATGCATTAATCAAAAACATTTTTCTCTCTCCTCAACACAATGGAGACTTTTTTTTGAGATCCTACATTTCTTTTGCCTTTGACTTACTCTGAATTTCCTAATCCCTGAGGTCTTTATGCCCCAACATCTTCCAGTGAAAAAGTAGGTTTGCTGGTCTTGACCATGTCTTTGCTATGTCCCTCAGTAAAATTTGTAAAATTTCCTCTCGTTCAGGCAATGTCTTGTGAGTAGGTGTCACAGTAAAATTGATAACGGGGATTTGCTTCCCCACTTCTGGTCCCAGCCTTAGGCCTCCTGCGCAGAGGAAAGTGGCAGGAACCTGGCCGGCCCACTTATCTCATCCTTAGCTCTAGTGGAAATGCTTCCAGTGATTATGCTGCTTTAATTTCCTATTTGGCATAAATTTTTTAAATGGAGGTACTGGGGATTGAACCTGGGACCTCATGCAAGCTAAGCACGCACTCTACCACTGAGCTACAGCCTCCCCTATCCCCAGCATAATGTTTAATCATCCAGTATTTCTTTAAAGATCTGCTGCTGTGATAAATCTTTTTTTTCCTACTTAATCTGTGAAATTAATGTACCGCATTAGTCAATTTCCTCATCTTGAATCTTTTTTTTTAAGTTAGTTCAATAAACTCCACTTAGCTTTTGTAAATGGCTAAATATCTGAGCTTAAATATGGGTAAACTTGTACTTCTATTTTTGCATTTTTGTGGACTCTGTCATGCTTGAAGATACCACTCAGGCTCTAGCTCATCTAGGTGCTGAGGATCACTTAATGTCCAAATAAACAATCCTGTGCTGAATATTTTTCATTTGGATATTGTTTATTGTCCACAAAATGGGAAATCTACAGTAATTTAGTGTACTTGATACCCTCTGCTGGAAAGATACAATAAAATCAGGGACATATAAATTACTCAAAATATCTTGCTTAAACTGATCTGTTACTTCAACTGAACCAATCTTTACGCCTCTTTCCTACTCACCCTTTGTGTGAAGGTAAGAGCTCTCCCCATGGTCCCTTAGTGAAACATGTTTTTCGTTTCAGAGATCATTGACATTCAGGGACGTGGCCATCGAGTTCTCCCAGGAGGAGTGGGAGTGCCTGGACCCTGCTCAGAGGGCCTTGTACAGGGACGTGATGTTGGAGACCTGCAGGAACCTGCTCTCCCTGGGTGAGGAGAATGTCCCTCCCTAAGTCTGGATCTGCCCTAGTGAGTCTTTTGGGAACCTCTGCCCTGCTTAACTGAGGTTGAAGCTGTGTTGACTCTGAAATGAAAAGGTTGATAATACTGCATCTGGAGTTTCACCTTCTCCTTTCTTCAGATGGTCACACACTCCACACTAGACTTGTAGTCACTCCAAAAGATGAGTAAAAACAAAATCTGATGGCAAACCTGTAAAAATATCCAATTCTGGATCCACTTTTATCCCTGTACTTTTGATTCAGTAGTTCTTGGAACACAGCAAGGTATCCTTTAAAAATCTTCCTTAAGCATTCAGGAGACAGTCCATGAAAGATTTGTGAAATATTTTTCTAGACACATCTGTAATGTCCTCTCTTCTTAGCAGAACAGAGGGCTGGAATTGTATTCTGGAACAGCCACAGCACATTATGTTTCTATCTTACAAGCTTGAAACTCTCTTTCTGACCTGAATACTATTTCCATTTTGGAGCAAGGGAAAGAGCCCCCGAATGTGAAGAACAAGGCAGACATAGTGAAAAAACCAGATGAGTGGACTGTATCAAAGGTGTGAACACAAGTAAGAGCTCAGAAGGGCTGAGAGGAAGCCGCACCATTGATAGTGTTTGGGAAACTCTCTGTAAGTGGGGAAGTTCTAGAAGAAAACAGAAGTTTTGTTTCTTGTGAGCTCAGAGGAAATTTTTCTTCCCTTCCACTTTGCGCTCTCTTCTTCAGACATGTAAAAGTTTATCCTACCAATATCCAGTGGTGCTCCAGCTCATACAAAGACCAAAGAGGAATCTTGATCATGACCATAACTCTTGGTTATCTGCCCCCATGATCTCTTTGGTACCTTGACCTTGCAGGGCACTGGGAGGGCTGGTTATAAGGGGTCCTGTTTCTTCTTTGGTCTTGTTCTGTATGCAGATTTCAGTCCACACAGATCCAAGTGGGAGCCTCCCCAGTTCTGGCCACAGGTCTCCAGGTTCCACTCCCATATCAGGTACTTGGGAGACCTTCTCATGAGAAGGGAAAACATCGCCACCTGGGGCCCCAGGAAAGTACACGGGGCTGTCACAAGCTGTCTCTGTCTCTCTCAGAGATAGCCATTTCTTCAGTTCTGTTTTTGCCACACCACACATCGAGGATTATGTGTACCAGGAGTCGGGTGGGTCTTCTGATCCAGCAGTAAAACTGCTTTTACTCAGCAGGAGTGTGAGCAGTACCACGCCAGACTATACTATACTCCAGGTTCTGGTATGTTGCTTTTGTTTCTTTCTTCTCAGAGTATTTTCAAATTTCCTTTGTGAGATCTTCTTTAACCCATTGGTTGTATCAAGAGTGTTTTAAAATTTCTGTATAATTGTTTCCAGTTTTCCCTCAGTAAAGCATTTCTGGTTTTATTCTATTGTGGTTGGAGAAAATGTTATATATGATTTCAGTTTTTTTCAAGTGCTTGAGACTAGCTTCATGGTTTAATATACGGTCTATCTTAGAGAATGTTCCATGGGCACCCAGAGAAGAACGTGTGTTTTGCTGTTATTGGGTGGCGTGTTCTATATGTGTCTGTCAGAGCTAGTGGGTTTATAGTCTTGCTGAAGTCCTGAGTCCTTACTGAACTCGTCTGGCTGTACTCTCCATTATTTACAGGGAAGAATGGAAGCCTCCAAATATTATTTTAAAACTACTTTGATTTCTCCCTAAAATTCTGTCAATGTCTGCTTCATGTATTTTGCAGCTCTCTTGTTTAGGTGCATATATATTCATATTTGTTGTAATTCCTTGATAAGTTATCCTTTTAAAAAATATATAATATCTTGTAAAAATTTTTTACTTTAAGTCTGTTTTGTCTGGTATTAGTATAGCACTCCAAGTCTCTTTTGGTTACTGTCTGCACAGAATCTGTATTAGTTGGCTAAGGTTGCCATAACAAATGACCATAGTGTGGGTGGCCCAAACATCAGAAATGTATTTTCTTAAGGTTTTGGAAGCTAGAAGTCTGAGATCATGGTGTCAGCAGAGTTGTTTCATCTCAGGTTATTCTCCTAAGCTTGTAGCTGGCTGTCTTTTCCTACCTGTGTCTTCACATGATCTTCCTTCTGTGTGTGTCAGTGTCCTAATCTCCTCTTCTTATAAGGACACCAGTCACTGGAGTAGGGCCCACTCCAATGACCTCATTTAACCTTAATTACCCCTTTAAAGGCCCTATCTGCAAATACAGTCATATTTTGAGGTGCTGGAGATTAGGACTTAAACATATGACACAGTTCAGCCCATAAGAGACTCACCTGCCACTCTTTCACTTCTAACCTATAAGCATCTTTCTGCTCAAAGTGAATCTCCTGCACATAGAACACAGGCACACCTTGGAGATTTTGTGGATTCAGTTCTAGGCCACCACAGAAAAGCAAATATCACGATAAAGCAAGGCACAAATTTTTTGGTTTCAGAATGCATGTAAAAGTTATGTTTACACTATACTGTAGTCTATTAAACGTGCAATAGCATTAGGTCTAAAAGAATGCACATACCTTAATTTTAAAACAGCTTTATTGCTAAAAACTGCTAACCACCATCTGAGCCTTCAGTGAGTTGTGATCTTTTTGCTGGCAGAGGGTCTCACCTTGATGTTTGATGGCTGCTAACTGATCAGAGTGCTGGTTGCTGAAGGGTGGCGTAGCTATAACAATTTCTTAAAATAAGTCTACAAAGAAGTTTGCTGCATTGACTGACTCTTCCTTTCGTGGAAGATTTCTTAGTTGCTTTTTCATAACATTTTACCCATAGTAGAACTTCTTTCAAAATTGGAGTCAATCCTTTCAAACCCTACAGTTGCTTTATCAATGAAGTTTATATAATATTCTAAATCCTTTGTTGTCATTTCAACAGTCTTTACAGCATCTTTACCAGGAATAGCTTCCGTCTCAAGAAACTACTTTCTTTGTTCATCTATGAGGAACAACTCCTTAGCTGTTAAAATTTTATCACGAGATTGCAGCAATTCAGTCACATCTTCAGGCTCCACTTCTAATTCTAGTTCTCTTGCTATTTCCACCACATTTGTAGTTACTTCCACTGAAGTCTTGAACCCCTCAAGGTCACCAATGAGGGTTGAAATTGACTTCTCCCAAACTCCTGTACATGTTGATATTTTGACCTCTTCCCATGAATTACGATTGTTCATAATGGCATCTAGAATTGTGCCAGAAGGTTTTCAATTTTTCCTGGCTCCATCAGAGGAATCACTGTCTATGGTAGTTATAGCTTTATAAAATGTATTTCTTAAATAATAAGACTTGAAAGTCAAAATTACCCCTTAATGCATGGGCTGCAGTATGCATGTTGTGTCAGCAGGCAGGAAAACAGCATAGATCGTGTACATCCTCCATCTGAGTTCTAGGGTGACCAGGTGCTTTGTCTGTGAGCAGTAACATTTTGAAAAGAATCTTTTTTCCTGAGCAGTAGGTCTCAGCAGTGGGCTTAAAATATTCAGTAAACCATGTTGTAAACAGATGCACTGTCATCCAGGCTTTATTGGTTCATTTACAGACCACAGATAGAGTAGATTTAATATAATTCTTGAGGGCCCAAGGATTTGGAGAATGGTAAATGAGCAGTGGCTTCAACTTAAAGTCACCAGCTTCATTAGCCCCAAACAAGAGAGTCAGCCTCTCCTCCGAAGTTTTGAAGCCAGGCATTGACTTCTCCTCTCTAGCTATGAAAGTCCTAAATGGCATCTTCTTCCAAAAGAAGGCTATTTCGTCTACACTGAAAAATCTGTTTAGTGTAGACACTTTCATGAATTATCTTAGCTAGGTCTCCTAGATATCTTGCTGCAGCTTCTGCACCAGCACCTGCTGCTTCATCTTGCACTTTTATGTTATGGAGAAGGCTTCCTTCCTTAAATCTCACGAACCAACCTCTGCTAGTTTCAGACTTTTCTTCTGCAGCTTCCTCACTTCTCTCAGCCTTCTTAGAAGGGAGTTAGGACCTTGCTCTGGATTAGATTTTGGCTTAAGGGAAGTTATGGCAGGTTTGATTTTTTATCCAGACCATTAAAATTTCCTCCATTTCAGCAATATGTCTGTTTTGTTTTCTTACCATTCATGTGTTCACTGGGGTAGCACTTTTAATTTCCTTCAAGAACTTTTACTTTCTGTTCACAGCCTGACTAATTGTTTGGTACAAGAGTCCTAGCTTTTGGCCTGTCTCATCTTTCAACATGCCTTCCTCACTAAACAATCATTTCTCGCTTTTGATTTAAATTTAGAGACGTGTGACTCTTCCTTTCACCTGAACACATAGCAGCCATTGTAGGGTTATTAATTGACCTAATTTCAATATTGTTATATGTCAGGGAATAGGGAGGCCTGAGGAGAGGGAGAGGTGGGTCAGTGGAGCAATCAGAGCACACACATTTATTGATTAAGCTAGTTGTCTGTATGGGTGCAGTTTGTGATACCCCAAAACAATTCCAATAATAACATCAAAGATCACTGATCACAGATCACCAAAACAAATAGAATAATAATGAAAAAATGGAAATACCACAAGAATTGCCAAAATGTGACACAGAGACACAAAGTGAGCAAATGCTGTTGGAAAAATGGTGCAACTATATTTGCTCAACATAGGGTTGCAACAAACCTTCAATTTGTAAAAAAAAATGCAGTATCTGTTAAGTGCAATAAAAGGAAGTTTGTCTATATAGTTGGATCCTGTTTTTTGAATCCTTGCTGTAAACCTCTACCCTTTAATTGGTGTTTAATCCATTTACATTTAATGTAATGAGTGATAAAGGAGGATCTCTGTCACTAGCTATTTGTTTTCAATGTGTCTTACATAGTTTTTTTCTCCTCAGGTCTTCCATTACTACCTCCTTTTGTGTTAGATAGATTTTTTCCTAATGTACTGTTTTGATTCTTTATTTCCTTTACTATACAGTTGACCCTTGAACAATGTAGGTGTGTGGGGTGCTGACTCTCTACACAGTTGAAAATCTGTTTATAATTTATAGTCAGTCTTCTGTATATGTGATTCCTTTTGTGTTTGTGGCATCAGTGGATTCAACCAACTACAGATCATGTAGTACTGTAGTATTTACTACTGAAAAAAGTTTGCATATAAGTGGACCCAGGCAGTTCAAACCCATGTTGTTCAAGGGTCAACCATATATTTTTTAGTTATTTTGTAGTAGTTGCCCCAGAATTACAAATAAAATCTTACTTTACAACAATGTACTTAAAATTAATAACAATTTAATTTCAATAGTATATAATACCTTTGCTCCTTATATATCCTGCCCCTCCATCCTCTTGTTTATTTATTTGCATGCAGTAGACCTGCATTTGCATAATATCTGTTTCTCCTCAAATATAAGACATCCATTAGTTGTGGTAGTCAAAGAATATACTATTAGAGATTATGTAAGTTTATATTGTGTGAGCAATTTGGTCATAGTGTGTTTGAAAGTAGGCTTCACTTAAAATAACTTGAAATACACTTAACCTTTTATTAAAGGATTCTATTTACTTTCTGTTTGCGAACATTTATAGAACTTGGTTGAGTAGTTTTAATCTCTTCAATTACTTTTAGTGTAATATTTATCTTCCAACTCTAGTTAATATGAATACTATAATTATCTTTCAGATATCTCCATTAGGTTTATGACCGAGGAATTACTACTGAAGAAAGACATTAATAATAGAGAATTACATCAGCTAGTGGTCTTGGGAAGACGTGGAAGCCATGGTATTGAAGATTTTGATCTCAGGGAATTCTGGGGAAATATGTATGAATCTGAGAATAAGTGTGGATATGAAGAAAGAAATTCCAAAGGAGTGCTTATGACAGATGACATGAATCTCACTGGTAGAAAAGATAAACAAGACAGCAAATCCTGGATTAATTTACCTTTAAAACAAAGGGTTTCTTTAAGAAAAAGTACACATCAATATTGTAGGAATGGGAAGTCACTTATAAAGAATTTGTTAAAAATTAAAAATAACAGAGTTTTTTCAGGAAACAAGTATACAAAATGTTTTAAAAATAGAATTGGATTAAGCTTTCAGTCATCTCTGGCTGAACTGCAGAAATTTCAAACTGAAGGGAAAATTTATGAATGTAATCAAGTTGAAAAGTCTGTCAAAACTTATTCCTCAATTTTATCACTTTCAAGATTTCCTCCTAGTGTCAAAACTAACATTCGTAATGAATATGGAAAGATTTCTGTGTATCCTCCATTACTTTCACAGCAACAGAAAACAAACAGAGAAAAGTTGTACAATTGTAATGAATGCGAGAAGACTTTCAGCCATCATTCAGTCCTTACTAGTCATCAGAGAATCCACTCTGAGCAGAGACCTTATAAATGTAATGAGTGCAGTAAAGCCTTCAAACAGTTCTCAAACCTCACAAGACATCAGAGAATCCATACCGGAGAGAAACCATATAAATGTAATATATGTGACAAGGTCTTCAACCAAAATTCCCATCTTACAAATCACTGGAGAATTCATACTGGAGAGAAACCACACAAATGTAACGAATGTGGTAAGGCTTTTATCAAGTGTTCAGACCTTTGGCGTCATGAGAGAATTCACACCGGAGAGAAACCTTACAAATGTAACAGATGTGGTAAGGGTTTCACCAAATGTTCGTATCTTTGGGATCATGAGAGAATTCATACTGGAGAGAAACCATACAAATGTACTGAATGTGGCAAGGTTTTTAGGCAGTGGTCTACCCTCAGGATTCACCGTAGAATTCATACAGGGGAGAAACCTTACAAATGTAATGAATGTGGCAAAGCTTTTAAGCAGAGCTCACACCTGACTAAGCATCAGAGTGTACACCCTGGGGAAAAGCCACACAAATGTATCATGTGTGGCAAGGCTTTTATCCACATTTCAAGTCTGGTGAAACATCAAAAAATTCATACTGGAGAAAAACCGTACAAATGTAATGACTGTGGTAAGGCTTTCATCCAAAGTTCAGGCCTTACAGAACATCAGAGAATTCACACTGGTGAGAAGCCTTACAAATGCAACAAGTGTGACAAAGCCTTCACTGTGCGTTCAAGCCTAACTAAACATAAAAGACACCATACAGGAGAGAAACCTTACAAATGCAGTGAGTGTGATAAAGCCTACACACAATTTGTGCACCTTACTAGACACCAGAAAATACATACTGAAAAGAAACGTCATGAATCTAGCCTACGTGACAATGCTTTTATTCAGAGCTCAAGCTTGGGGGATCATCAAAGAATTCATGGTAGAGAGAAACCCTACAAATGTAACGAATGTGGCAAATCCTTTAACTGGTGTTCGCGCCTCACTCGACATCAGAGGATCCATACCGGAGAGAAACCATATAAGTGTAATGTATGCGGCAAAGCCTTCAGTCAAAACTCAAACCTCACAATTCACCAGAGAATCCATACTGGAGAGAAACCTTACAAATGTAATGAGTGTGGCAAAGCCTTTAAGCAGTACGCAAGCCTCACCAGACATCAGAATATACATCCTGGAGAGAAGCCACACAAATGTAATGTGTGTGGTAAGGCTTTTATCAAACGTTCACACCTTTGGGGCCATGAGAGAACGCATACTGGGGAGAAGCCATACAAATGTACTGAATGTGGCAAGACCTTTAGACAATGGTCTGACTTTAGGATTCACCAAAGACTTCATACTGGAAACTCTTAGAAATGTAATGAATGGTGTAAATCATTTAATTATTTTAAACAACAGACTATACATTACATAATTTACACCAGGGAGAACTAAGTCTCTCATTCTAGATTAATCAACCTCAGATGTTAAATCCTTCACAGTAATTAAATGTCAAAATCATTTGAAATCTATGAAATGATGGGTGTCAGTAGAGCACGGAGATCTTTGGAAGTGTACCATTTCTTTAAAAAAAGTGCTTTTATTATATGAAATTTCTTAAAAAGGCTGTGTTACTAATGATGTCTTTCACCCTGAAGTTTAAATTTTGTTGATGTTACAGCCTTCATCACGTGCTTTTCATGCGTTACCATGATGGGCTCTGGGAAGGGATCAGTGAGATAAAAGGGCTTTTATTAAATGAGGATCATTCATATTCATGTTTCCTAAAGGAACAAGGGCACTGAATTTTCACAGGCGAAACTGTGTTTTCAATGAGAGCATAAGGATGGGAGGAGAATATATATAAAACGATGTAAATCATGATAATTTCAGATCCTCTTCTATAGATTTGTTGGTACAACAGGGGAATGACTGGATTATCAGAAACCACTGTGCTACCAGCTGAGTATGAAACGGAGCAGGCCTCAAGAGGCTGAGATTTTCCTGAGAGTAGGATGATAGGTTAGTAGGGACAGCTTATGTGGTAGGAATAATGGAGAAGAAGTGGTCATTTTCCCTTTTACAGAAAACAACCATTGTATATCAAAAATGAGTGAAGAGTAAGTCTTATTCTTAGAAACTAAGGGAGCAGTTATCAGAGAGCAGAACTTAATCAAAACAGCCAGAAAGCAGTGTACATCCATCACTTTGATACATTTTACTCACAATGTGTCATAGTTGTCATGTTTTAATTAATAAAAGTTAACCATTCAAGAACTCTAAGTGAGTTGTGTCTATCTTATCAAGCCCATCCCACCTCACTGGGGTACTTCACAGCGAATACTCACAGGCCCTCTTTAGGCAGTCAAGGCTGGAAGGCGCCTGCAGCAGTTTCTTTGCATAATGGAATCAAACATATATGTTTATGGATACATAGTCATCACTTGCTTGAGTTATACTTTCTGCACTCTGTTCCTTGACTACGTGGCTGTGACTAAAACACCACAGCAGCGCAACTTTAGACTGCCCTCTTAACGCTGCAAGTGCTATTTATAAATGTGCACCTTAAGATCCTATGTCAACACGCCTTTTCCTTTGTGCCTAAGACCCGTGGCTCCATTGGCCTTGATTTACATGAGGTAAAAAACATATTACACATATGAAAAGTGTTAGGAAGTATGAAATTTTAGAAATAAAGATGTGAACAGAGTTTTTTCTTCTTGGAGGTCTTATGGGAGTAATTCGAAAAGATCACTGATCGTAAGTTTCCCCTTAAGAATGAACAGACTCACTTCAGGAGGAAAGGTTGGTTTATTTGTTTTATTTGTAGGCCAACTAGGAACTTAACATACTTGTGTGTGTGTGTGTGGGG